TGAATAAGCATGGGATAAAACCCGACTATCTGAACATAGTAGACAAAGAGGGCTAATGAAAAGCCAAGGACAATTGCACTGGTTTTTGATCCTACTGCATGAGCTGGCTTTGTGGGAGCCTAGACTGTTTGGATTCTCATCTTCCGAGACTTGGTTGGAGGGGGGAGGAGCTTGGACTTCCCACGGGGCAGGGAACCCTGACTGCTCTTAGGACTGGAGTGGGAGGGGGGAAGTTGCGGGGGAAGGGGGAGACTAGTGGGAGGGAAATGGGAGGTGGGGAGGAGTCGGAAATTTTTTCAATAAAAAAATAAATAAATAAATAAATAAATAAAAAAATAAATAAATAAATAAACAAGTCTTAAAACTAGAAACCATAAAAAAGAGTTGGTTCTCTCTTTCCATGTGGGACTCAGAGGTCAAACTCAAGTTTTGGTAGCAAGCACCTTTACCAGCTGAGACATATCACCCAACCAAAAAATTACCAATGTGGATTTGCAATTTTTGCTCTAATAAAAGGGTTGAATCCAGGACATCATGTATGCTGCCCATCTGCTCTACCACTGAGCTACGTCACAAGGAACACTTGTGTTCTTTTTGTCCATAGAATGAAATTATATAGAGAACAACTAGATACAATGCTCTATATTAAAATGTACAAGTATGAAAATGTGTATACTATATATAATACTGTGTATTAAAACACCAGGAGTCTTTATATACTGATATCCTTATTGAAAAGTCATGGACATTTTTTTTTAATTCAGGGTGTCATACTGTAGCCCAGGCTAGCTAACTTAAACTTGCTATGTAGACAACTTCATTTTGAACATCTGATCTTGCTATCTATACCTCTGGAGTACAGGTTTTAGAACCACTTCCAGGCCCTGTTCTGTGGTGTTGATGATCCAGCCTAGGGCTTTGTGAGTACTAGGCAAGTACTCTTTCAACTGAGCTACATCCCCAACCCGGAGGACTATTGTACCATTCTGTACTTATTTTTAATTAATAAATTCTCTTGTGTAACAATTTTATACACACACACATATACATGCACACAGACATATATATATATAATGCATTCTGGCTATTGTCCCCATTCTTTTTCATTTCTAACTCACCCTTGTCAGTCTTACTCCTTACCTGCAAATCTCTTTCCTGTATTTGTGAATTCCGCTGTGTCTTGCAGATTTTAACTAGTGCAGATAGCAAAATGTTGGCTTTATTTCATGTATATTTGAATGGAGCCAGCCAGCCTTGGCTCTGAGAGGGTATTTCAAGTCATTGAATTTTCTTTAAATTTTGATGAAATGAAAGAACCTTTGGTTTCCCTAAATTACAACATCATTGATTGATTCTTCCCAGAATCTTAACTCACGGGACATCTAAATGGGTTCTACATAAACTTTATAATCTGCCCAGGCTAAGAGAATATCAAAGTACAATTGATACAGATGTGAGCCATCTATTGGCTGGAACCCTGTCCCCACCCATCCTTCCAGGGTATAAATACCACAGGCTGGGAACTCTTGAGCACAACAGAACAGAAGGGAAGCCCTGAAAAGAACAGCACACACAGCTGGAGGGAGAACAGAGAGGGGCACATTGCTGACAGACAAGCAATGGTGGACCTGACTTCAGCTCTCTCACTGGAAACCTGGGTGCTCCTGGCAATCAGTTTGATGCTCTGATACCTGTGAGTAACCACCAAAGTCTCTCTCCTACTGTGCCCTTGGGATTGAGGTCATATTCGGACCTGAATTCTTGTATGACCAGAAGGTCAAAATTGACATAGGAAGCGGGGCTAGGAGAGATGGTTCAGTGGTTAAGAACACTGACTGCTCTTTTGGAGGACACATGTTTGAATCCTGCCATCCACACGTGGCTAACAATCATCTTAAACTACAGTTGCAAGGGATCTTATGTCCTCAACAAGCACTAGGATACAATTTTAAAAAGTGATAGCAGCAGTTGAAGTTAACTCTTGTAAGAACACTATGAATTAATATGTTATTATTTATTGGGTCTAGGGGCAGCATTGACACAGTGTGTGTGTGTGTGTGTGTGTGTGTGTGTGTGTGGTCAGTGTACATGTGGGGGATGGGGGCGAATCAAGCATATAGAAGGCTAGATTAACCAAGTTAATACCAAAACAGTGAGAGTAAAAAAGAAGGCACAGTTACACCAAAAGTATGGCATCTATGCCAAAAGCATGGCAGCAACGCCAAGAGCTTGACAGCTACGCCAAAAGTCTAACACCTGGAAAAGGGCATGAAATTCAAACGACAGTGACATTACAAAGCCCATGAAAAATACTCCCAGCTAAGATGGTGCTGAAGGGGAACAAGGAGGAAGGAGACCAGACATATTTACAAAAGGAATAATTGAAATTCAAGATTGGGTAAGATGACATAAAGTGCCTGATGCCTTTGTGATCTCCATTAGGGGCGATAGGAGCCACGGATCATATGGATGTGACTGCTGATGTGATTGGTTAATTCTGCTTCCACTTCTTCTGGGATTTGTGGGATTTTGCTTTATAAGTTGCATGTTGTAAGGAAATTAATGAGTTCCCGCTTAACTCGACTCCCCGCTGAGTCTACAGAGGAACCCCGTGTGTGTGTGTGTGTGTGTGTGTGTGTGTGTGTGTGTGTGTGTGTGTGTGAATGTATGTGTGAATCAGAAGAAAACTTAGGGGGAGTCATTTCTCACCTATCATGTGCGAGTCAAACTCAGAATAACAAAACTTGGCAGTCAGTGCCTTTACTGTATGGCACTGACAGAAATAAAGGACAGAAACGAAGTGACAGCTGTGTTGAGTTCACTGTGCACTTTTATTTTTGGCTAAATAAGCATCAAACGAGTGCCTATATGTGCAAGGCAAGTACTCCACTACTGTGGTATAGCGTCAGTGGTACTCACTCGTGAAGTTCATACTGACATGCAGCTCTGCTAAGGACACCCCCACATACTGTCAACTCCCTCTTTCTGAGGTGATAAAATTTACATATGGTATGACGTGATTGACTTTCAGGTTACCTCTAGATTCAAAATAACTCAGTAGAAACAAGCACAAACCATGGGCTGCCATGGACACTGGACCTCTTTGCTAAGCTCTCTGGGAGATGGAGGGATGGCCAAGTTATTGGTTGGTTTCATGTTTTGGTCATGATTTTCTCCCCTGTTATGTATGTGTAAGCACAAGGTTTTCTGTTTCACTTATAGATTGGGGACCGAAAACCATGACATTTTTAAGAAACAGGGAATTCCTGGGCCCAAACCTCTGCCTTTTTTAGGAACCCTGCTGAATTACTACAAGGTGAGTATTGATTGTTGGCAGTCAATAATGGTTTGGTTTTCTATTAAACGCTCCTTGGAAGGAAGCTCTGAGATTTCCTGCCCTTATGCTGTGTGTTCTCATGATACTAGAGATTGTCTAGTGGTTTCTTGGAGACTAATTGCCAACTTCAAACTATCAAATGCCTGCCTGCATGTTTTTATAGTATGTATGCATTATTTTACTGTTCAGGAGTGCCCATGTGTGTGCAGATGGATATATGTGTGTGCATATTGAGGTCAGATGTTGGTGTTGGGTGCCTTCTTGATTCTTTTCACTTTATACTTTGATGCAAAGTCTCTTAGAAACCCAGCCCTCTCTGGCATCACTAGTTTAGCTGGCCAGCTTCCTCCAGGGTTCCTTCATCTCTGCCTCCTGCAAGTGGGGATACTGGAGGACTTTAGCAAGTGGGGATACTTGAAGACCTTAACACCTGCCTGGCATTTACACAGATACTGGGGATACAAACTCTAACTTTTATGATGTCTCTTCACACTGACTATCTCCACAATTCCCATTGTCACCTTCCTCCCGTATTTATTAATTTTGGGGTGAGTGTGTATGTACTACAGCATGCATATGTAGATCAAGGGACAACTTGTGGAAGTCAGTTTTCTCTTTCCACCATATGAGTCCTAGGGATGGATCTCAGGCTGTCAGAGTTGGTTATAAATCTTTTCATTTAGAACCATCTCACCATGAGCCCTGATGTAAGCTTTTTGAGCCTCAAGTTTGCTTTAGGTGAAATGCACAGATCTCCAGCCCATTTAATCTTGATATTCAGGACAGGATGCTCAGACTTTGTGAGCACAAGGAAGTTTGTTTCGTACCTAGTACAGATTCTGGGAAGGCACTTCTCTACTTATTTGAAGTAAATCTTGAGGGAGTTTCCAGCTTCTTGGACATCAACCTGGACACAGTAGATTAAAATTTTCCCCTTTGTATCCAGATCATGAGCAACATTTTCTATTTTTCCTGAATATTTCTGAAGCATCAGCATAACACAGACCTACATACACATCTTTGGGGGAACTTTTCATGTTCTTGGGTTCTCTGCATAACCATTGAATCTTGAAGCTATTTCTATAGATCTAACCTCACCATTTACTATTTATGGCAGGTTGAGGGGGTCTTGAGAATTATAATGCTTTCCTTTTGGATCTTCATGTAGGAACTTGTGTTCAGGTTAGTGATTGCTTCCTTTAGAAGGACTCTATTTCTATACATGAGTATCTGCATGTGGGTTTATGCACATAAGTGCAGTACGTACAGCAGCCAATAGAAAATACAGGACTCGCTGGTGCCAGAGATACAGATGGTTGTAAGGTGTTCGGTTTGGGTTTTGGGGACAGAACATGGACCCTCAGGAAGATCAGCTAATGTTCATAACTGTGGAGTCACATCTCCAGCCCTAAAGACAGGTTTTCTATTCTGTTTTGGTTTTGTTGGCCTGAGAAAGGGATCCAGGGATTTAGACATGCCAGCAGGTGCTCTAACACTAACATGGACCTACAGCTGCGTCTCTTCCGTCAAAGGCAGCAGCCTGTGCATGAGTGTGAGCAACAAGAGTGTGAAAACCTGAGACAGGATGATGGCTGTCAGTCACCTCACACACTGGACTACTAAATGTGCTTTGTATTTTCATTTAAAGATATTAAAGGCAAAAACACTGGGAAAAGGATGGCTTAAACAAATGGTTAGTAATGGGCATGCCGTGTGCCACATATAAATCTAGGTGGATCTTTAGAGACAAACCTGATTTGACACCTGGCCTATGATCAGTCATCAGCAGACATTCCCAAGTTCACATCCAGAGGGCAAGAGGCAACGTTAGTGCTGCCGTCTGCTCAGGTTTTTCTTCCTAACGTTTTCTATACTTAACTACCACATTCTTTAAAACAACTTATTATTATTGTATTCATAATCATAATCATTATTTTGTGTGTGGTATGTATATGGTGCTGTGAACATGTGTGTGTGTGTGTGTGTGTGTGTGTGTGCTCGCGCGCGTGTGCGCAGAGACCACGGGACATTGTCAGGAATCCTGACCTATCATTCTGCCTTTTCCTGATGAGCCATCTTGCTGGTGCCACTAAATGTAATTGAAGAAATTTTGTCTATCAGAAATGGTAAACCTCGCTTCATGGGCTTTGAGAGTTTGGTCCCCTGGCTACAGAAGGGTTGGTACATACAGAACAATAATGGATTTCATGCTCTTTTTCTTTCCAGGGTATATGGAAATTCGATGTCGCGTGTTATAAAAAAGTATGGGAAAATATGGGGGTAAGTATTCTGGAAAGTTTCATGAGTTGATTGTGTTTAGGAGGATGTACTCTAATTGTTCAATGACAAAGTCAGCTGAGAATTGCAGTAATGACTTCTCTGTTGTAAAGGTGACAATGTGTGTCATAAGTGCCGTGGTTCACAGGTCTGATTGTCTTGAGAACATTGTATGCTATGGAGTTTGGACAGGATTTGAGGCTCCATGGCCTCTGGGCCTCGTGTGTGTGTGTGTGTGTGTGTGTGTGTGTGTGTGTGTGTGTGTTAGTTCGTTTATTTATTTATTGAGTCAGAATCTTTGTGTAAGAGTCCTGGCTGTTCTGGAAGTCTGGAGCATCGCAGTTCTCCTCTCCACCTCCTGGATCTAATGTTTTTCTGTCCTTGCTGTTACGTTATCTAAGTCTTGGAGAATTTGGTATAGGTGCCTCATTTAAATTCTGTACTTTCATTTGTTTTAAAGCTCACTATATCAAAACCAGGGCCTAGTGTACACTAGGAAGTCCTTCTACCAGTGAGCTGCATCCCAAGCCGAGATACTGAAATATTTTATTATTTTTAAGATTAAGTTTTTTATTTTAAATTTTAATGTAATAAGAATTTGTTTTCACTTTAAAATATTTTATATTAACTTTAACATTATTTCTTAAGCATTTAATTATGAGTTTTACTTCAATATTTTATTGTTAAACATATATTTCTATTGCTTTTACTATATATATGTGCATGTGTGTGCATGTGTCTCTGCACAGGAGTGCTAATTGTCAGGAAGGCCAGAGGCATTATCAGCCTGTAGCTGTAGTTACAGGTGGGTGTAAGCCAAACAGCATGAATGCTAGCAACCAAACTCAGATCCTATGCAAGAACAAAATTTGTTCTTAATTAGGTCTTATCTCTCCAACCCCTTCCCATATTTAAATATGCAAAATCATAGAAAATGGTATAGGAACTCTCATATATTCACATGGAGACTTAAAAATTCCACTTGTGATTCTTTTAATTATGATGTCTTTCAGAACTGTTTTGTTTTTAAGTGACTCATTGTGTCTTGAATGACACTACCTGTTACTTTACAAAGATTCCACTATATCCATGATCAAAGTCCTGAAGTTAGATGGGGATCTCATGTGAGAACGTGTTGTATAACTATAACCAATAAGGGTCATGTAAAGTGAGAATCATAGTCTAGATTTGGGGCTACCACTCATAACCTGGCTTGGGTTAATGTAGACAGAAGTTTCTGTCCCACCTGATTCTACAGCCATTCAGTCCCAAAGAAACACATGGAGGCTCATATTAATTATGAACTGTTTCACCTATTAGCTCAGGCTTATTATTAAATAGCTCTTACAACTTAAATTAATGACTAATTCTTGTCTATGTTTAGCCACGTGGCCTGGTACCTTTTCTTCATAAGGCATTCTCATCTTGCTTCCTCTGTATCTGATTGTGACTGACTCTGCCTTTCATCTTCCCAGAATTCTCCTAGTCTGGTGGTCCTGGCACTGCTTCCTGCCCAGCTGTGGGCCAATTAGCATTACCAATATGAGTAACATATCTTTACAGTGTACAAGAGCATTATCCCACAGCATTAAAATGCCTCAAGAAAAGGCTTTTTTTGTGATTTTGTACCCTAAAAATCCAGAGACAGAAATTGGAGTTTAAAGTGCTGATCAGAAAAGTAAGCAGCCAAACCACTAAAGAGCTCTTAACTCTAAGAAATACTCAGAATGAAAGAGAGCAAGTTCTTGTTTCATCCAAGTTTATATTCTTCTCTAGTGCTGGGATTAAAGGTGTGAGCCACTACCACCTGGATCTGTTTCTGCTTATTGATCTTGTGTAGTCCAGGGTGGCCTTGAACTCACAGAGATCCATCTGCCTCTGTCTCCCTAATCCTGGGATTAAAGGTGTGTCACACCACTTCCTGACCTTTAGTGGATTAGTTTTATGCTTTGGTCTTCAGACAAACTTTATTTATAAAACATGAATAAAATATCACTATAGGTTAATCTGTTGTTTTCCCCCATACAGGTTGTTTGATGGTCCAACACCCCTGTTATTTATCACAGACCCAGACATGATCAAGAATGTACTTGTGAAAGAATCCTATTCTGTCTTCACAAACCGATGGGTAAGTAACTTCCTTTTTTAACTAAAAAAAAAATGAAAAATTCATTTTTGCTGTTTATTGATGCATGTGTACTTATATATCTCGATGCCAAAAGTGTAAAGGTTCCTGAGAGGCCAGAAGAGGATTTGAGATCCCCTGGGTCTGGTGTTCCAAGCACTTCTGAGTAGCCTGACATGGGTGGTGGGAACTGAACCTGGCTCTTCCAGAAGAGCAGCAAGCACCCTTAACCACTGAGTCATCACTAAGCTACCCCCTTTAATAATACAAACCTTTATGTTTTACTTTACTTATTAAATAATCTGGAGACAGTTTTTCTCTGTGTAGCCCCAACTCTACTGAAACCTATTCTGTAAACAAAGTTTGCCCCAACTCAGAGATCTGCCCGCCTCTACCTGCCTCTGCTTTCAAAATGCTGTGTTTAAAGGCATGTGGAGCCTTTTTTTCCCTTTTGTGTCTTTCAAGACAGGGTTTCTAATGTAGCCCTGACTATCCTGGAATTCACTTTGTAGACCAGACTGGCCTCAAACTCACAGAGATAAGCCTTCTTCTGCCTCCTGAGTGCTGGTATAAAGGTGTACAACATCATGACCTGGCTACTTCTTTAAGTGAATTAATGAAATAAATATATATTCCCAATAGCCTCCATAATAATATGCAAGCAGGGTCTAGGTAGTCATTTTGCTAATGAGGAAGTGTAAATATAATATATTATTGTGATCCAGTTGTAGATGGACACTCTTGTCATCTACATTGAATTTACATTTGCTTTTTCATGGGTCCTTTCTTATGTCTGTGTGGATCAGTACAGTTTATCACAGGTCTAGTCTTGTGTGGTGACAAAAACGCAGAAAATAGTGAAGGCATAAGTCACAGACAATGCCACACCAGTTTGGAATTATGATTAATAGGGTGGTATTTATTTAAAGAGGAAGGAACTTACAGATCACCATCCCAGACAACAGCCCTCTGCGCAACCAGGAAGGGAGTCTAGTCGCCAGTGGAGCAGGAAGTGAAGAGGGAGAGGAAAGGGAAGTGGCCACTTTTTTAAAGGGAGAGAGACCACGTCCCAATGGGCTGGTATCTCAGTGGCTATAGGCTGGAGCAGCAGAAGGACCTCCCGCAACACCTTCCCCTTTTGTTTAAGTAAGAGAGTTCTGAACCTACTACAAAATTATATACAATAAGTACAAATATCCTATTCTAACTAGCTTAGGTCTTGTATAATAAATAACTTGGCCAAGTCATGAGAGAAAAGTAACTACATTTATATAGTCTTCAACCCCATCGAAGATCTGAGAATGGAAATAATGTTACCTGGGTAATTAGAAAGTTCAGTAAAACAACTTCCAAAACATGCAACAAATCACAGAGACAACTAGCTACCTGGGCAATCACCCAAAGTCATGTTTGCAGCATTGAAGCAACCAACTTTGGCTAAGGCCTAACATAACTGACATACCATTTTCAAAGGCACGCAACTTTTCAAAACTATCTTACCCTGTCTTGGCAGGATATGACAGTCCTGTTTGATCTATTGATGCACGTTCTGTATCTCTGTCAGTGGTTGAGGTATGGGCATTTCTTTGCCTCAAGGCCAATTCTGCCAAAAAGAAAGGCTCCAGGTGGAGTGTCTTTGGTGCTCAACATTCTCTCGGGAATAGATTGGTGCTGCCAGGAGCAATTGTGTCTCACTACCACAAAACTCTGAGTTAGATTAAAGAACATTTTCTACAGCTCTTTGAAGAGGTTGAAGATTATCTATCTATACTGAGTATAATCTCTATATATCTAAAGAACCTGATTAGTCTAATTATAAATGACAAACTTAGATGACTATTAATCTATATAATTCTCAATATCTATCTAACTTAAAGACTAAGACAATAAACAACTGTGCAATATATGGAGACAATGATCTTCATCTGTAAACAATGTCATTACATATCAAATGTAAACAATGTTATTACATAAATAGTATCAGAGGTAGAAATGTACATTGTGATATGGTAGATGTATCAATACAATATAAGCATA